CAAACAAACAAATAAACAACAACAAAAACCCCACATACCTTTATTTAGGTCAAGGGTGTGGATAAGAGAGTGGTAGGAGATGAAGTTGGAAAAAAGGCAAATGGGAAATGTGAGATTAAAAGAATTGTGTGCAATAGTCTTAGTGAGAATGATGAAGATCTGAAGTAGCACTTTAGCAGTGAGGATGGACAGAAGGCTTCTGAGACTCTTAGGGGATAGTTATTATAATAATTTCCCAGGTGTGTTTCTTCTACACCCAGGGTGCCCCCAAATTCCAGAAGCTTCAGGGGTCAAAAGGAATTTATGATAGCTTTTCCAGCAACCCAAACAGACAGACAGCCCCTTCTCTTTTTCCTTCCTGGCTTGTCAACCAGCCCTTTCTACTGTTCTTGTCTGCTGTCAGTGCTTTTCTTACGCTGAGCTGCCCCCTGGTGGAAAACGAAAGTTCGTAACAGCATAGAGTCTTCTCAGCTGTTAGTGCGACTCTCACATTAAATTACAGCCATGTACCACATGACGTCACAGTCAGCGATGAACAGCATATACAGCAGTGGTCCTATGAGATTATAATGGAGCTGTCCTATGCAGGTGTGCCATTTTACCTTTTACACTATATTTTTACTGTATAATTTTATATGTTCACCTGTGTTTAGATGCACAAATACTTACAACTATATTACACCTGCCTACAGTATTCTGTACAGTAACATGCCATACAGGTTTTAAGCTTAGGAGCCACAGGCTATGCCATATTAGTAAGAGGCTCTACAACTAGATTTGTGTAAGTACACTCTGCGATGTTCACACAGTGACAAAATCACCTAACAACACATTTCTCAGAACGTATCCCTGTTGTGAAGTGAAGGATGACTGTACTTGTACACTTCAACCGAGAAGGAAGACACTTAGCTTCCTGGTAACTCTGTGTCTTGGACCTAAGAAGCCTAAGAAAGACTAAAGATAAGACAGGGTTAGTATTTTAAGTAATATTGCTCAAACGGGGTTGAGAACGTCCTCAAAAGCACTGAGTGACTCTTGCAAAACAACTCCCTATCTTTTCCTCTTCCTCTTTTTGGTTAACTCTCAGTGTAGATTTTGAGAAGCCCAAGCAGAGAGCTTCTGGAGGCAAAGGCAGGTCTATGTTACCAGGCAGGTAACACAGAGGAGTGAAATGAGCCAGTGTAATGTGATGGGTAATAGTGGGGACTGTGCAGAATTGGAGTCACTGCCACTAAGCACCAGTTATTTGGTATTCTACAGGAATATAGGCCCAGTGTTATCAAAACTTGCCCTTTTTAAAAAAATTTGAGACAGTTTCGCTCTTTCACCCAGCCTGAGGTGAAGTGGCACAATCTCGGCTTCCTGCAACCTCCACCCCCATCCCCAGGTTCAAACAATTCTCCTGTCTCAGCCTCCTGAGCAGCTGGGATTATAGGCACTGCCCACCACACTTGGCTAATTTTATTTATTTATTTATTTATTTATTTATTTATTTATTTGGGACAGGGTTTTGTCATGTTGGCCAGGATGATCTCGAACTCCTGACTTCAGATGATCCACCCCCTTCAGCCTTGCAAAGTGCAAGATTACAGATGTGAGCCACCAGACCTGGCCAAAACTTTTTATTTTTAAAGAGAAGCTGGAAAGCCAGATTACTGTATGAAATATTCTAGGTTTTTTTTTAAGTTGTAATGTAAATATTTTTGAAAAGAAAAAAAAAGCTCTAATGCCGTTTGTTTTTAAGCGCTTCATGGTAGACTATCACCTTTCAAATGCTTGATGAGTAGTGGTCACTGCTAATCACTCTATTATTAACTTTTCATTAGTTTATAGCAAAATCTTTAAAAAGGACAATAAAATGAATTTTTTTATAAAACTAAATCTATCCAAGATAAAGAACTGCTTCCCCCACCCGCTGGTGATTATACCCTTACATATTTTATTAAAATATTCTTCATTTATCTTTGTATTTATTAAAATATCTTTTATGAAATAATAGTATTGTTTTTAATACATTTAATTGGCAAAATTAAGAGTTGTTGACTTTACATTGTCTTGCTGCATTTAGTTTTGGTTTACTTATTTTTGAAATCCAAATGACTGGGCACTGCTGCTAGGACAATGGCAAGTCACTGAAGGTTTTAAAGCACTATTGTGTTGACGTAACCCTGGACTCCAGCAGTGATGTGGAAGATTTGTTGGTTGAGACTAGAGTTCCAGAAGTAATAGAATGTGAAAACCCAAAGGAACTTCTGCTTCTCTCCTTCATTTAATGACTGAGGGCACAGAGATAGAGTAGGGAAGTGAATTGTCCACAGTCACCGGGGGAGATAGTAACAGAGACATGATTACATCCTGTTTTTCTGACACAAGATAAGTGTTTCAACTGCCCCAGCCCTTTCTACATCAGCCACACAGTACACTGAGACACTGAAGTGTCCAACTGATGGAAGGCTTAGCAAAGGGAAGACTTCAGGATAACAGAATAGGTGATTTGTGTAATTGTGCATTTCAAGCGAAACTTAAAGCCCATGTATCATGTTTATTTCATTTTTAAGGTACAGAAGTTTGCCTTTAATTGCTGCTCAGTTAATTTTCTTTAGGATGTTTCTTTCATGAGTGGGCCATTAGGTTTAAGAGTGTATTAGAGTTCACTTATTGTGATATTTGGCTATGTTAGAACTGCAGTTTATTAGCAAATACACCCACTTGACTTTCCCTTTGATCTGTCCCAGTTTCCACAGGTGCTTATGTACCTACCCCTACCCAAAAAACTTTTTCCTTGTTGTTTACTTTGTGTGTGTGTGTGTCTGTCCTGTTTCCCACTTGACAGATACATTTTACACAGACAAGATAGCATATTTTATACTCTATTCTCTGGCACCTGTGACTGGCACACAAGTAGGAGTTTGACTTGATTATTAAAGAATGACAGTAGCAATAATGATAACTTTCATACATTAAGCACCATCCATATTCCAGGTATTATTCTAAATGCTTTTTAGAAAACATTATCTAATGAAAATTAGTCTAAAAATATTTGGTGTTTGCCTCCCATGTGCCAAGTGCTGTGCTGAATGCTGGGAAATAGCAGTGAATTGATGGATATATCCTTTAGCTGCCTGGAGTTTACAGCCTCATCTTCAGTGCCTTCCTTCTCAGCACCGCCTCAAACCTCTTCTGATTGATGCTAGCCCAAAATACTGATTGTACATAATTAAGAAAAGAGTTACATTTATGTCAGTTGCTGTCAGGGAGAGATACTGAATGTTGGGAGTCAGAAAAGACTTTTAGATAAAGTGAAAATTAAATTATGACATGAAGGGTGAGCTAGGTGTTATTCAGATGAAGGGCAGGGGGTGTGCTCTATGAGGAGGGAGTATTCAGGGCAGATGCCCAGATGGAAGGTACCAAACATGGTTTGGTTCAACCAAATTTTGAAGAACAGAAGTCGAGGAGGGCTGGAGCAGAGGAGGAAAAGAGGACAAGATGAGGCTACCTGAAGTCTTGCTATTAAACTCCCGGGGTACCTTATGAAGCTCTGTATAATACTTTTTATAAACAGCATCTAATCAATTGCATTTAATCATATAATTTGTTGTTTGGATATTATTTGCCTAAAAACCTGTCTTTTCTGCTATGTTGAGCTTGTTTAACACAAGGTGCTATGTAGGTCTTATTTCATCACTAGTGCTGCCCTAAACTTTCCCCCATATACCTGCTTTCTATTTTATCTTTTTTTTAAACTTATTTTATTACATTTTAGGTTTTGGGTTACATGTGAAGGACATGCAAGATTGTTTCATAGGTACACACGTGGCAGCGTGATTTGCTGCCTTCCTCCCCATCACCCCATATTTGGCATTTCTCCCCATGTTATCTCTCCCCAACTCCCCACCCCCCACTGTCCCTCCCCTATTCCCCCCAACAGACCCCAGAGTGTAGTGCTCCCCTCCCTGTGTCCATGTGTTCTCATTGTTCAACACCCGCCTATAAGTGAGAACATGCGGTGTTTGATCTTTTGCTTTTGTGTCAGTTTGCTGAGAATGATGGTTTCCAGATTCATCCATGTCCCTACAAAGGACACGAACTCATCATTTTTTGTGGCTGCATAGTATTCCATGGTGTATATGTGTCACATTTTCCCTGTCCAGTCTATCATCGATGGACATTTGGGTTGGTTCCAGGTCTTTGCTATTGTAAACAGTGCTGCAATGAACATTTGTGTGCACGTGTCCTTATAGTAGAATGATTTATAATCCTTTGGATATATACTCAGTAATGGGATTGCTGGGTCAAATGGAATTCCTACTTCTAGGTCCTTGAGGAATCGCCACACTGTCTTCCACAATGGTTGAACTAGGGCTGATATCCAGAATTTACAAAGAACTAAAACAGATTTACAAGAAAAAAACAAACAAGCCCATTCAAAAGTGGGCGAAGGATATGAACAGATACTTTACAAAAGAAGACATACATGAGACCAACAAACATATGAAAAAATGCTCATCATCACTGGTCATCAGAGAAATGCAAATCAAAACTACATTGAGATACCATCTCATGCCAGTTAGAATGGCGATCATTAAAAAATCTAGAAACAACAGATGCTGGAGAGGATGTGGAGAAATATTTTATCTTTAATAAAGAAAATATCTGCTTTTCTGACAGGCCCATCTGCCTGTGAGCACTATACACAGTTTCCTTACTGAGTTGAATTTGTAGTATTTTATTTATTTATTCACCCATTTGTCTATTTAATGGACATAAGTGTGTGCCAAGCAAATTTAGGAAAATGTAGGAAGTTCCTCATGGGCTAATTCTTGTTCTAGACTTAAGGTTAGGCATACCTGACACCAAAAACTCTCATCTACAAAGGAATATATTACAATTTTAAAACATTTAAATTTCAATGTATTGGGTTATGACCTTTTTTTTTTCCTTTTGGTGGTTTAATTATGCCAGTATTTCAAAACCTGCTTTTGTTTTTCCTGACTCAGCCCATCTGCCAAGCAGCCTATCAGAATGACTTTGGACAAGTGTGGCGGTGGGTGAAGGAAGACAACAGCTACGCCAACGTTCAAGATGGCTTTAATGGAGACACTCCCCTGATCTGTGCTTGCAGGCGAGGCCATGTGAGAATTGTTTCCTTCCTTTTAAGAAGAAATGCTAATGTCAACCTCAAAAACCAGGTGAGGTTATGACACGAGTGGAGAGTGTAATTGTTCATGGTAATTCCTTTCTCCTTGAATCACTAGAAGTGGTGCATGTCATTTTAAAAATTGCTTGTAGTTCCTAATACCAACAATTATCTTAGCCTTAATTTAGAGAGACTGACACATACCAAGGACATTTGATTAGGCTAAACAGCAAAATAAAACATAGTTCAACCAGCAGTCGTAATTTGTGATTAATTGTGTCTTTGTACTTCTGAGGAGGAAGAGAATGGTTCACTCATTTGGCTCGATAGAACTTTTTTTTTTTCCTTCTTCCTCTCTTCATCCTCCTCTTTCTCCCTCGCCCATCTTCCTCATCACTTTACAGAAACAACGGGAAGAATTTCCTGGAAAGAAATGCTGTTTCATTAGATCTGTCCTGATCTCCAGAAGATTGTATAGTGTACTTGTAAAACGAAAGAATACTACTGAGAAATTTACCAAGGCCAAATAAGCTCATGAACCAGAAGTTACTTGAAATCACACAGAAAGGTGTGAATAATATATTTAAAGATGCAATAGTAGCTACTTTGAAGTCTTCAGGACCAAGGAAGAGAAGAATATGTGTGTATTGCTGTGAAAATCCTTGTGGAGCCCTTTCTGAACATCTAGCATTTGCATCGTAGTGAGGGCAATGTTTAAATTACACTGTATAAACATTAAAAGTCACTTTTTGCAATCATTATGACTGTCCTGTACCCATTCATATGCATTCAAAGGGAGAAACCACTGGAATTCCCCCATTGCCCCTTCTAAGTCATTTGAAGACTAGCTTATTTGGAGTCACAATGTATTATCAGAAAATTGATCACTACTGGACTTTCTTGTTTGTGCTTACTACTTTTCGTTTTGCTGGGATTAAAAGCAAGTCATGCCCATGCTGAATCTAACAGATATGCAACATTGTAGAGTATAATAGGATCTTAGTAGATCACTGCTGAGAAACCAGGTATGTAGAGTTGTGGTGAGTGATAGTGCCAGAAGACAGAAGACAGATGTCTGTGGGTTCCTGTGCTTTTTTAAGAGATGAGCTCATTAGGAAACTGAGGGAGGAGATGTTAGACAGCCCATGAGCAAGGCTGAGGAGATACTTTTTCTCTGCTTTGCAGATGAGGATGGCCTCAGCCAGTCTGCTGGGATTTTCTGGTATCATATGAACCATGAAAAAGACGTTCGTGGATACATTAGGTTAATAGATTTTATCAGAAGTTTTTGGTTTGCATTTTCCACTTTAAAAATGTTTCTAATGTATTAACATTTAATATATTTTTCTCCAAATATTAATCTCCAAAGTTAATAATTTGAACTGGTGATTTCTCATTTCTTAAACCCATTTAAAAATTATTTCCAGACGTACTAAACAAACAAAGGCCTTAAAACAAACAAAAAGCTCTGCTGGCGGTTCAGAAGCACAAGCCTATGGAAAACATGGATTCTATGGAAAGCAAATTAAATTAAAACGTAAAGATCCTTGTTTTTGTCTGTCAACTGACCAAGATTTAAAAAGAAAGCAAATGTTGATCAGAAAGTTTAAGTTATTATTGTCTTATTAGAACACAATTTGGTAGCACAATATGAAAAGCATTAATAATGTTTATGCCAGAAGCTTTATGAATGAGTAGGTTTGGGCAATATTGTTTATAAAAATGAAAAGTTAAAAACTTGAAATGGGCCATGTGCGGTGGCTCATGCCTGGAATCCCAGTACTTTGGGAGGCTAAGGTAGAAGGATAGTTTGAAACCAGGAGATGGAGACCAGCCTAGGCGACATAGCGAGATCCCCCATCTCTACACAAAATGATAACAAATAAAAAATTATCCAGGTGTGGTGGCACATGCTTGTAGCCCTAGCTACTTTGGAGGCTGAGGTTGAAGGATCGCTTGAGCCCAGGAAGTTGAGGCTGCAGTGAGTTAGGATTGTGCCACTGCACTCCCACCTAGGTGACAGAGCAAGATACTCTCTCACAGAAAACAAAAACAAAACCCTACAAAACCTTGAACTGTTGAAAGGCAGAGCTTGGCTAAATAAATTAGAGTAGTTCTAATACTAAGCCATGTAGCCATTATAATCATATGTTTGAAAATACTGAATGGCATGGAAAATGTACATATTCTAAATATGCATTTCTAAAGTGAAAAAAGCAAGATATGATATTGCATATGCAATATAATCCCACATTTAAAAATTCCACACTTGTGCATTTAAAAAGACTGAAAGAGGATATAGCAAAATGTCAACAGTTAAGTCTGGTCCATCTAATAATGGGCAATTTTAAATTCTATCATTATATTCTTGTCTACTTTCCAAAATTTTTTACAGAAAATATAAATCCTTTGATATTAGAAAAATAAAAAGTATTCTTATTTAGGTACAGTGCCTCGCATAAGTGGAAACTAATCTCCCTTCTTTCTCTTGCGCTTCCTCCCCTCTTATTGATTTGGTTGGTATTCCAATTACGACAGTCTGTTTTGCATTATATTTATTTGTGCATGTTTCTGTCCACCTTTGATTATGAGGCCCTAAGAGTTCACCCTTAGAAACTGACATCTATTACCCGACAAATGTTCACATATTTGAAGAATAAAATTGAGTTATTTGCATTTTTCTAGGCTATGTGCATGAAGGAACACGAGAGTAGCCATGTGGTTAAGAGTTTTCCTATAAACAAATCACAAAATGGATCATCATACATGATAGATGATGAAGGGATAACTATCACTTTCCATACTAAATTCAGTCCTAAGTTTGTATCTCAGTGTATTTTTTTTGCAGAAACTAAATGAGTGTGAGAATCTGTCTTCTGATGACCTGTACTGTGTACATTTCACCTTTGCTGCCCTCCAGGAGCCCCTCCCTAACTTTTCCTTTACACTGGATGGTGCTCCTTGTTCTGCTCACTGGAAAGCTGCATTCATTAATCAGACCCCCGCAGGAAAAGATGCCATGGGTACCAGAAAAATAAAAAACAGAAACTGAACTTTTTGAGACGGTCATCTGAAAGTGTAAATTTTGAGTTGAAATGCTTTCTTAGTAACGAGTCCTTTTCTTGACTTTTAGAAAGAGAGAACCTGCTTGCATTATGCTGTGAAGAAAAAATTTACGTTCATTGATTATCTACTTATTATACTCTTAATGCCTGTTCTGCTCATTGGCTATTTCCTCATGGTGAGTACAACACTTGCTAGAGCAAAGGGCAATGTGGAGATTGATGGTGTGACTCATTGACTCTTGCCAGGCCAGTGACATGTTAAAAAGAAATAATAACAAAATAAGCCATTGGTTTGTATTCTGTAATTGACATGTTCAACACACATGCAATGCTATAATTGAAGTACAGCAAGAAGGTAGGAAAAATAGTTAACGAGTGTTAACATAATCCATGCAATGTTGATTTAGAAAAATTATTTAACCTTAACGAAGACTTTTCTGAAGAGAGCAAAACAAACAAACAAAAACTGAGCATTAAAAGAAATTCCTTCTTTTTTTTCATCTTTTTTTTTTTTTTGTTTTGGGATTTATCTTTCTGGCTTTCTGATTTTTAAGTACTCCTCTGGTGATGGTGTGTTAAAAAACAGATCCTAAGAGTTGGCATCCAGAAGCCGATGCACACAGAAGATACTTGTTAAGAATTTAAGCCCATTTTCACCTTGATGAATTCCTTCGTGCTTGGATGAATCTTGGCAGACAGCAATTTTCTGGAATAAAGAAAGGTGTAGTGGGTATAGGGATGCAGTCACATGAGGAGTAGAAGATGAAGCTTGAGCTGGTTTTTGTTTTTCCAATAGGGTAACAGATGCCCACTGACTCACTCACTTTTATCCATCCAGTTTCCTCTGTGCTCAGTTCCACCTCTCAGACATGAATTAAGAGATGCACGATTTACTCTAATTAAATGACCAATCTCCCTCCTTGTAGCTGATAAACTGTGAATATTGGTTACACCTGTTAACATAAGACCCAGAACAGTCTGCCTGTCAAAAATGTTATTAATTCATTGGGTATTTAAATGCTACAGAATTTGGGGAACTATAATTAAACATGATAATATTGATTTTGATTATCTGGATTTATAGGAGAGAGAAAAGAACTTTAAATCACTAGTAAAAACATAATCTGCTCATATCCTCAAAGAGTTCTTTAAAAGTTCATTGTGTATTTAGCACTTAGCATTTAAATATATATAGTTTGGGGGCAGGGAGAATCTGTCATTTATTTGCAAACCTTTTTAGAAAGTCTAAAGATAAAAATCACAGCTGTGATTAGAAAGCTTATTCAGAATTTATTGACACACAACTCTGCTTTCTAAGATGGTTCAATGTTTAGAGGTTGGAGGCCTGGGCAAAAATACTAATCATAATGAATAGCTTGGTTCTACTTGCATGTACATGCAATTTGTTAATGGGGCCTAAAGTTGTAAATTTGCGATGCATAAAAAAATAAGTGACATGAGAGGAAATGATAGGGGAGGAGACAAGAAAGCATTGAGTTATTTCAGAGAAAGGTAGGCAGAGAAAGGCAGTTTAGAAGGTGACACAAGAGGGAAGAATAAGGAGAGAGAACTGGATGGAGCTTCCCAGGTGATGACAGGGTCGAACTCCAGGACTATACCCAGCTGAGCAGGGACTGCTTTGCTTCTTCAGGAGACTGGAAGTTTAGGAAGACTCCCACAGGCTTGTGGTCAGAATCTCAGGAGATTAGGAAGGAAAAGTGAATTTCTGAGGAGCCCTTGTTAATTTCATTCATTTGTTCAATTCTTTAACACATATTTATTATGGACCTACTATGTGCCAGATGCTATGCCAGGTGTTAGGGACACAATGATGAACAAAATAGGCATAGTTCTTGATCCTGTGAGAGTTAGGAGGTGGTGAGGAGAGTCATTAATCAAATGGCACAAACACATGTAAAATTACCATGAAGCAGGTGATACAGAAAGGTAACTGGTGTTAGGATATCTAAGAAAGAGGGATTTCACCTGGTCAGGTGGGTCAGGGAAAGCTTCTTGGAGAAAGAGGGACTTGGGCTGATGAATGAAAGATGAATATGCCAGGCAAAGAAGGGAGGGAGGAGGCTTCTAGGCAGAAGGAACTTCCTGCTCAATGATTCTCTGGCAAGAGGGACCCTGGTGGGAAGGAAAGACTAATAAAGGACAAAGTAGAACAGAGTGAGCCAGGAGGCTCAGAGTGAGAGAGGGGCCAGGGCCATATATGGAGCCCAAAGGCAAGGGGCTTTGTAGGCCTTGCTGAAGAGTTTGCTTTTGTCCTCAGAGCAATGGGAAGTAATTACAGAGCTTTGAGCCAGGAAGCGAAAGACAGGTACTGGGCCCCATTCTCAGTGGAATTAGGCAGGTTTTGGGTGGAATCTGGGAAGTACATTTCTAACAGTTCTCAGGTGTTGATGCTGCTACTTCAGGACCACAGTTTGAGAACCTGGCTTTAATTAGTTGATATTGGAGGGGTGAAAAGCTGGGGGAAATTTTAAGAAAGATGCATACATGCATAGGAGTGGTGGGATTAAAATGAAGCCTATTGATTAAATAGTCTCAGGCATAAACTGGAGAAACTATTTGAAAATAAACCTTTCTTATAATTATGATTTGTAATAGGTATCAAAGACAAAGCAGAATGAGGCTCTTGTACGAATGCTACTTAATGCTGGCGTTGAAGTTAATGCTACAGACTGTGTAAGTTTATCCTTTTAGATATTTTGAAAAAGTATTCCAAATGGTATTTGTAGGTAGTGTATTTGTCATCTATACAGTTGCTTGCTTTATTTTCCTTGACAATTTTACATTTAGTTTTATTTTCTCCTTTTTTTTTCACTGACAGGCAATCTTGAGGTTATTTATATTCTGTTAAATTCATGAGAATAATATCTCTGTTGATTATAAAGCATTTTTTCAGTTTATGCAGATAATCTTTAATTCATATGCTTTTTGAGGAACATAAAAATGATGCATATATAATACAAAAGAAGTACCATGCTTCGACTGCATGCTTTCAGAACGTTGGCTGATGTGTAGTGTCAAGCAGGTTTCTTGAGGAAAAAAAAAAAGAAACAACAATAGACAGAGTCAGTGAGGAATTTTAATTTTGGCTTAGCTCTTCTTGACACCCAAAGATTTCACTTTAGAAGTCTGGTCCCCAAAAGGGCTAGGGAATGGGTAAATGCTTACTCCTCCGGGAAGTTCTTCTAACTGTTCCGGGATCCTTTATGAATCATTTGCATGATTGTAGGAACGGAGCTTAAAGAACGTCCCAACCAAGAATCAGTGCTCTGTGGCCTGGTGGAGGTTGAGAATGTTGGCATGACCAGGTGTGACCACCTCTCTTGAATCTCCTGGAGGCCTTTCCTCAGTGTATGGTCTGGGCACCATTACTTAGCCTGGAGGAATGGAGACCATTGCAATTAGAAGGAATCTTGATGTCTTGGCCAGTAAGAGGCTCTCAGACCAACAAAGCCACCTGACCTTTGGGTCCTGGCTGCCTGGAAGTTTTGGTCCAATTTAAAAATGACCAAAACTAGCTCTCGTTGTATAGCTGGCTGCTGCCAGGATTCATGTTACAGATGGGATGGAAATGAGTTTTGTTAATTACCTCATTTTGAACTATTTATTTCAGCTAAAATTACACCAGACCCAATTGATGAATAGATTGTGAATATGAATAAGCCTTGGTATGCATTTGCCTTATATCTGAGTAAAATTTCATATTTATATGCCAATCATTGATCTTCTCTGATTATCATCAGTTCAAGTAGTCCTTCTACATGTTTTTTTTTTGTTTGTTTTTTTTTTTATCTTAGGCAGAGCTCTTTTTTATTATTATACTTTAAGTTCTGGGGTACATGTGCAGAATGAATTGGCTTTAATGTTGGTGAGACATTAAGGAAAACGAAGGCTCTAATAACAAAATACCAGCCATAGTAGTGTTAAGGATCTGGAGTCAGAATGCCCACAAGTAAGTCTAGGCTTGCCACTTTTTACTTCTGTGAGTTTGAGCAAGTTGCAAACTTATTTGACTCTCTGTGTCCTCATCTATAAAATGGGGATATGCATAATACTAATTATATTGGGCTGGTTCATGTAAAGCACTTAGCACATGCTTGGAACATAGTAAGTGCTCACTGAATGGCAACAGCCGTTGCTGCAGCCAAAATCCCAACCCACTGGTGAGAGGCCCCATGTGTAAACCAAAGAGGTAAGACAAAAGTCAAGAAAAATCCCAGTGATGGTAAAAGCAGTGATAGCAGCAGTAGCAGCATCCGCTCACCTCTTCCTGTTTGTGAGTGTAGGGTTTTGTTTTCACTTTCATCTCTGTGCTCTTGCACTCATCTTCCTTTCTAAACGATCACAGGAAGACAGAAGTTTATTTGTATGGTGTTTTGCTTGTGGTGATTGAACACAATTTTGAATTCTCAGTTCTTAATTGAAAAAGTAGGCAAGTGGAAATTCGATTCCAAAACACTAACATTCTATTTGTGATGCCTAATGTATTTTGTGTGTGTGCACACTTGTGTGTATTACCATTGTTTTATTACAGAGAACATGTTCCCATTCCTGTTTCTATGAATTATTTACATCATTTCGGTTTTGCCTATGCTAGTATCATGTTTAAATGCAGGTAGTTTTGTGGTGTGTGTGTGTGTGTCTGTGTGTGCATAAACACACAAGACAATAATATTTTCCTTTTATTTCAAATAGAACTTTTGGATAAATTTGTATTGACAGCTACTGTGCATTGCCATTCCTTTAGATATCTTTGAAATACATTAAGTAAGAGGTTATTAAAGATTAAGTTAAAAGTTTGTTGAAGGTTTTTCTTTTTTTTCATTTAAATTCAATAATTTAAATTTTCTTAGTCTTTTCATTTAAATTCAATAGATTTAAAATTTGTGCCTGTGACCAAAATTTCTCTAGGATATTTTCCCAGCTATTTATGTGTATTTCTCTCTGTAGACAGAGATATTGCTATCTAGGTGCAGTGGCATTCACCTCTAGTCCCAGCTACATAGGAGGCTGAGATGCGAGGATCACTTGAACTCAGGAGTTTGAGACATATGCGTGTACACACACAGACACCCACTTCTAATACCAAACGTTTTTCAAAAACTCTCTGAATATTAAAATCCACTTTCTAGGTAAGACAGTGTTTTGTATTTTTGGGTAATTAGACTTTATTTCACATGAAAAAATCAGAACCAAAGCTTCCATTTGTCATGCTACCACTTAATAAAAATAAGTAATTGCAACATGATGTTCTATAATTTTAGAGGTGTTTCTAGGGAATACAATCCAGAGCTAACTCTGTTAGTTTTGTTAGTTAAAGATATTCTTTCTTCACTTACCAAAACCATGATTGCTTGGCTACTTTTCCAAAGGCCAAATTTGGAACACTAATATCCTAGTTATAATTTTTTTGATCTGTAGTATTTTAAATTAGTACCAACAGAGTAGATGCACTAGTTTATAACACATAATATAAGCTATAACAAATCACGTTTGGGAGACATCTCTGTAGAACTGCACTGATCTTGTAGGTGTCCTGCAGCAGTAAGAGCACTCACTCATCTTCTTCAGCAGGAATCATCATCAAAACCATAGAGGATAATATTTATGTAAAGGCTCATGTGGAGACTCTTTAAAAGATGGTGACATGATCAAGGTGATGATCACTGAGACATATAGCCTAGTACAAAGAAACCTTGGTACAATTAAGCATCAGCTTTTCATAAGTTGCATTCTTCAGTTTAGAGCAGAAAATGAAAAACAAAAGGGCAGAGATCAATGGCTTATATGACACTAAATATATATACATTGAGGCAGAGAAGAAAATGTCTTAAGTACTTGAAACAGTTATCTATCAATGGCTTGCACATTGTTTTTTTGCTTGGTTGTATACCACAATGTATGAAAAGGATTTGCCAATGAAGCCACATGCTATGGTCTGTGGAGAGCCCGACTGATGAGCTGAAGCTTTGGGCCTTTGTGTTTCAGTACGGCTGTACCGCGTTACATTATGCCTGTGAGATGAAAAACCATGGAAGGGGATGGGGCCTGCCCACCGCCCACACCAAGAAGGCCAGGCTCCGGCCTCGCCGCAGGGCCCCTGGCTTTCTCCAGCCCTCCCTTCCTGGGGAGCCCCCTCTGCTCCTGGAAGCCCATGCAGACCCCACAATAAAGAATAAGGTAAGGGTCTATGGACCATGGACTGAGGTTCCTCTAGCAGCATCATCTTCTAATCTAGACCTATGTTGAAGTAAATTATTTGCCTCTGATGTAAACAACAGTAAAATTAATCATCCTCATTAAGGAATAAAGCTATGCTATTACTATTAGGACTGACTGCCTTTTAAAGCCCTTGACAAGCCAGAGTCAATTTGTCTAAGCTATTTACAAGATCTTGGGTACTCTATTGGAAATAACTGTATTTTTCTCCCCCATCAGCATGGTGAGAGCTCACTGGATATTGCACGGAGATTGAAATTTTCCCAGATTGAATTAATGCTAAGGAAAGCATCGTAATCCTTGTGACCATGCCGATGGAGATATAGACAAAGTTAAAAACTGGATTCTACCTTCACTTTAGACTGTTGGTCCATGGGCCACCTGGCTGCCACCATTTTATGGGGATAATGATGATTCTCTTGGTTAATGTTTTGGAAGAGCTTTTTATTTACAGCATTGTTTTCTCAATCAAGGTCACCATGGCCATAATCCCTCTAAGTGAAACACTAAAGTTGTTGCTGTCTCTACTTCAGTCAGAAACTGATGTAACAGCTAGGCACAGTAGTACATGCCTGTAATCCCAGCTACTTGGGAGGCTGAGGTGGGAGGATCACTTGAACTCAGGAGTTTGACAGCAGCCTGGGCAACAGTGAGACCCTGTCTCAAAAAAAAAAAAAAAAAAAAAACCCTCATGTTGGAAATGCAGTCTTTCCTGAAGAAGAGTATCAAAGTTATCTTCTGAGACAGTGTTCTCTCTTTCTAGTTGCGTCACTCTTATAAAAAGACTGTCCAGTGTGTCATGCCCTAGTAGATAAACTGTTCCTCTCGGCGCCGTCTGAGTACTGAGCCGAAGAATCAAAGTATTAAATATGTAAATTTGTATAGAATGCTATGTGTATGTGTGTGGGCTTAGAGATTCACATGTAAATATTCCTTTGATGAAACAACTCCAATAAAAACATCAAGTGTCAGTGGTGAGCATGTTTACACCACAGAAATTGGCAAATTGATGAATCCAAGCTTTTTGTTTGTTTGTTTGTTTCCAGAAAGTTGGTTTACCAGCATACCACTAGAGATTTTCGTTTACAAATAAAAGCCATCTTGGTTTGAGCAAGACTATGCAGCTATGAAAATGTTTGTTTAAAAAAATCTTCATGATCTTTTTGTATATACAAGGTAATTACCAAGCTTGTTAGCTTTGTTTATTTTGTTGATAAATGTAAAATATTATTGTAACTTATTTGGGTAAAGTTCTTCACAAGGAACAGCTATATAATGAGGTAGGATCTGGATTATTTGTCTAAGTGAGAGATTGTGAATATCAAAATATCTGTCTCACTTCCTCTGTGAAATAGGCAGAGTAAAAATAAATTCATTTTAAAAATATGATTGAATTTTGCAAATCAAGAATGAATCTCATGTAGCTTCAGACAGAGACTAAGCCAGCCACACTGTATGTGGTAACAAGTACAGCCTAAGAATGAAAGATTTGCCATCCTTGAAAGGTCTCATGAAAATCAAATCCAGCAATATATATTGAGCTGTGTACAGGCCTTTAAGAAACCTATTTTATGAAGGAAGTAGAAGTGTGTAGATCTAGATTCTGAAGCCTTTAAATGTATCTTAATAAATTAAGATTCACTGGCACTGAGCTGAGCTACCAAGTGATCCTGAGGGACAGAAAAACCACACAAGTGAACTTCACGCACCAGTATACTTTCAACAATATGCTTTTGACACACACTAATTTTGGATTTGGTTTCAGAGATTTTTGCCAATGTAATTTGTAATACCAATGTAATTTACAATGGTCATCTTTGAAATTGTGTAAAAGTGGAATAATTTTCTGAAGAAATAATTCATGGTTTGTGAATGAGTTGTGGCGGCTGTCTGACATTAACTTAAAGGATAAAGTATATAACAATTTGTTGCATCATGCTCATGCCATTATGCAATTTTCTTCCTAGATTTAAATTTTTGGAGGCAGAAAATTGAGCCAGAAATGTCTAGCCATTAAGTCTCCTAGCAACAAGCTGTAAACCCTTCAACAAGCTTGGACTAGAATCTAGGCATTGAAATGCACATGTATACTTTATATAATGCAGAATGCATTTATTGGGAAACTCATAAACATCCTATAAAATTTTCTTCCCTGAGATCCAACTGCAAAACTTGGCCTTATTCTGAGAGTGCTTAACATATATTTCATCTATACTGTAACATTAATTTTGTTGTTGTTAAAGCAGCTCAGCTTCCTGAGGTAGTGTAATGTCTCTATGGCAACAAGGTGAAAATGTCTAGCTATTTTTGTCAAAGTCAACAACAATCCAGAGATTCCAGACCTCAATATCTGTCCCAATTTGTCATTTTACTTTAGTGCTCAAAATATATGGCTTATAGAAGAAAAATAAATGCTTTAAAGAGATTTACTTGACTGTCATAGAGAATGTCTAGCACTTTCTGGCTGTCAGGTAAAATCTACCCTTCAAAATGATAGAATATATAATAGCATATAAAACCTCTTTATCCAATGAGTACTTTAATTTACTGAAAAAAAGTAAATATCAGATTTAGTGCCAAGTGCAGGGAATCTGAAAAATGTATACTAGGTCTCTGCCCTCCCTAATTCTGCCTTCATGGGTCCTAGCCTCCTCCCTCATGACGTTGTCCTAGACTCATCAGTATCGGATGCTTCACAATACGGTCTCACACCGTCCCTGGGAAAAATTGGTCTCCTCCTGCTGCATCAGATGGATGATTTCATTGTACATACGGCGAGGAGCATCCAAACCCCAGATGAAATCCACATGAGCCCATTCAGGAATATTCTTATGGTAGATGAGGTTGGTCATTTCAGAGAGCAGCATCTTCACGTCTTCTGGATTTGAAAGCCAGTCCTGACCTCCTGTCCACATTGCTGTAGGAACCGTCATCTCTCTGACTCTGTACCTTACAGGAGTTGGCTAAGGAAAAGAAATAGTTCTTAACTCTAGGTAACATTTGGACTTTCAGACTCATAATTTATGTTTGAAATAAATATAATAAACGTGCCATTTGCTGCTGTGAAGGGTACACAGGTGTCAAAGCCACACAGACTCTGTTAAGAATTTCTGTTACCGCCCTTATTTTAAGGTAAAATTACTTAACATTATGGAACCTTAGTTTCTTCTGTGAATGGGGATAATATCTGTAATAACTAGCTAGGTCAAGTGAGAAAACACATAAAAACACGTAATGCCTTCATTTTTCTTCTTATTAAATATTTTGTAAATAAATTGTTTTAAAAAATGATGCCCTGGTTCTTTTAAAAGATAATTCCACAAACATTTCATGAGACAAGAATTATATTCCACAGAGAAAAGCAAGGAACCTGCTGAGAAGGGCTCTGCATCTACACAGTCTTTCTGTGATCCCAGGCAGCCTTTGAGGCAGGCCCAGCTTGACTGCATTTCCAGAACTATGGCCTATGGCACTCAGGTGACTAGAGCCAAAGGGAAGTAAAATACAAGCTCCAACCCTTTTCCCTGCCCCCCACCGCGACCAAATATACCAATTAGTATTCCTAATTCCAGGGAACTTTCTGTATTTATGCAGTGTTAGTAGAATTAGCCTGGCTAGCTGAGCCCTTGAGATTAATCAGCGTCCAGAACTTTCCACAGAAATAGTAAAGTCCATTTCTTACTCAGGAGATCCACCACAGAGTTTTGACTCCAATCCTAGATGCTCTGGTTTCTCTTTGTGGCTCCCTAGGAATTTAGAGTTATGGCCTAATTTGGATAAGGAAAGTTGAAAAATTCTATGGGGCTAATAGTATTATTATTTTTTTTTTTGTCATCTTACAGGTTAAAAAGATTGAACTAAATGTCATGACTCGTTCTGAGTTTCTGTGATTCTATGATACTTTTTTGTGTGTTTATTTTCTCTTCCCTTCCACTCCCATTTTTAGTTCCTATTCTACGTGAATCAATTACTCTAGAACTCAGTCCATTAAATGTTGATAAATTAAAACCATCTTAGGGCTAGGCATGGTGGCTCATGCCTATAATCCCAGCACTTTGGGAGGCCCAGGTGGGTGAATCACTTGAGGTCAGGAGTTTGAGGCCAGCCTGGCCAACATGATGAAACCACATCTCCACTAAAAATTAAAAAAAAAAAAAAAAATTAGCTGAGTGTGGTGGCATGTGCCTGTAGTCCCAGCTACTTGGGAGGCTGAGGCAGGAGAATGGCTTGAAGCTGGGAGATGGAGGTTACAGTGAGCCAAGATTACGCCACTACACTCCAGCTTGAGTGACAGAACAAGACTCTGTCTCAAAACAAAATTTTAAAAAATTTAAAAAAAAAATCTTAGAACAGGAATACTTTCTTTAGTGACGTATTTTAGGAAATAGTGAAGAAGGACCTCAAGAGAAGCAGCTGATACCAAAGACTGAGAGTTTGCTATCCAGGGGCACTGCACAGTTTGTCCAGTGTCCTAGCATTTTACATCTGGATAGATGTATGGCAGTGGGTATTAATTATGATGTGAGACTCTCAAAGAAAGACTAAGCTGTGTCTAATCTGCCCCTTTCAGCTTTGTCTGTATGGTAAATATTTATTTACATTTACACACATGATTACCAAAAATCTTCAGAAGATTTTATGTTCAAAAGAGCAGACGTATGCAATTTTGAATCTCCACACTTTGATTTTTAATTTTAGTTCATAGCATTAGCTACATATTTTCTTGGGTAATGTAATAACATTTAAAAAATTTTTTAACCTGCAAATTACAGATTCATTGAAAGTGTATCCACGGAGAATGCTTATGGGCCTTCTTTTTCTTTTCTTTTCTTTTTTTTTTTTTTTTTTAGACAGAGTCTCACTCTATTGCTCAGGCTGGAGTGCAGTGGCGCGGTCTTGGCTTACTGCAAACTCTGCCTCCCAGGTTCAAGAGATTCTCCTGCATCAGCCTCCTGAGTAGCTGGGATTACAGGTGCAGGCCACCATGCCTGGCTAATTTTTGTATTTTTAATAAAGACGGGGTTTCACCATGTTGGTCAGGCTGGTCTCAAACTCCTGACCCTGTGATCTGCCCGCCTTGGCCTCCCAAGTGCTGGAATTATAGGCATGAGCCACCGTGCCTGGCTGCTTATGGATTTTCCAAGCCCCAAATTGCTTATGGATTTTCCAAGCCCCAAATTACTTTATTTTAAAGATAAAGAAATTGAAGCCCGAAAAATTAAAGCAGCCTACCTCCTGTTATAGAAGGTTGTAGTGCAGAGGCAAAACTTACACAGTGATCCTCACTTGCCATTTAATGTTCTTTTTACAGTGCCATGAAACAAACTTATTCCCACCATCCCATTCTTTTATCCTAAAATAATCCTTCTAGTATCCACCATAGACTAAACTCTTCTCTTGACTAAGTCTATCCCATGTTGCTCCTGAGAATCCCAGTGCCTTGTTCAGGGAGATAACCTCAGCAAAAAAAGGCCTTGTACTCCATTGTAAAAGCAGAGAGGTTTTTTGGCTAAGCTGCGAACTTAACCATTTTCAAATGGAGTCAAACATGAACTATTATTTTCTGCTTAAATTTTCATATTTTGTTCCCATATCTAGAATAAATTGTCACTATTACTTCCCTGTCACACATTTCCAGTGCATATATTTTCAGCACATGGTATCTGATTTTTGTACCTGATTGCATTTTTCCAGATTTTTGGTCTCACTCCCCCAGTCAAATGCCCGGAGTTCACCAGAATTCACTGCCTAAAAGGAAACAAAAATTTACAAGATATTCAAACGCCTCAGTGGATAAGGCTGGTGGAGTAGTGGAAATGTGCTACCCAGTGCGCAATTGTGAGGGAAGCAGAGAGCAAAGGTGGAGCTGCTCTTCTATTCAATGTTGGGATAAGCCTCTCAGGAAAATGGTGAAGCAAGAATAAGGCCTTTTGAGAGAAAGACGGACATAAATTCTTGATCATTGCATTATTAACTCCAGGAAGTATATCTTCATTGTACTTACTGTGAGTGGTATCCTCCATAACTCTGTGAGCTACAATGGGGCATTGTGCCCTGGAATTGTGCAATGTGGTGATCCTGGGAGATAGCGACCAAAATTTGATCCAACTTAGAATTCTTCTCTGGTTTTGATGGTACAATCACTCTCTCTCTCTCTCTCGCTCTCTCTCTCTCTTTCTTCCCTCTTCCACAGAGAGAACTCTCTCCTTTCCTCTCTCCCTCTCTCTTTCACACACACCGCACAGACACACAGAGGTGTGTGTTTCCTGTAATTGCAGGTAAAACTTCCAGTGTGAAGGACTCCTGTGAATATCTATTTGGACAGTTAGACCCCACCTTAGCATTTTTGTTTCCACTTGACTGTATGGCTGGAGGAGCTGAAGAGAAGATATAGAAACATAATCCTCTTCAGCCACATCTTTGAGAAGTCTCACTTGGATCGTCTAAATTTATGATTTTAAGATCCACTAAAGAAGTCCTTAGGCTACTTCTGTCCTTTCCTCCCATTTCCTGAGAAGTTTCAATGATGTAGATCAAATTCTCCATCAAAACAGCATTGACAGGGAAAATGTGGCACATATACATCAAGGAATACTAGGCAGACATAAAAAACGATGAGTTCGCGTCCTTTGTAAGGACATGGATGAATCTGGAAACCATCATTCTCAGCAAACTGACACAAGAACAGAAAATCAAACACCACATGTTCTCACTCATAGGCAGGTGTCGAACAATGAGAACACATGGACACAGGGAGGGGAGCATCACACACTGGGGCCTGTATGGGGGAACTAAGGGGAGGGACAGCAGGGGGTGGGGAGTTGGGGAGGGATAACATGGGGAGAAATGCCAGATATAGGTGATGGGGAGGAAGGC